CAAATGTTTTTTTATATTCTGCTTGGATCTCTTCAATTTGTTGTTTCGCATGTTGTCGGAGTATATTGCGTTCTTCGTCAAATTCTTGAATCAATTCGTCCTCTATTGCTTGTTTTATGGGGTTGTACCCGCTGTTCTTTCGCATTTTTATACCAAAAAGGATTTCAAACGGTGAATATTTCGTAGTTCGATGAATTGTATTATTAATAGCGCTTTGCACGTCTCCCACAAAACGATACCATTGATGAGGAGACTCCCATGATAATTTAGAAATAACGTTGATAATTGTTCTGTTGACCCTTTCAATTTGGCCGTTACCTCTTGGAACTCCTGTTGTTGTTAGGATATGTTCGATCTGCGCTGCTTTACAAAATTCTACAAACGCATTTGACGTAAACGCGACGCCCTTATCGCTCACAATGCGAGTTGGATTTCCAAATATTTTAGTCCACAATTCAAGTTTTGTTATTACTTCCTCAGCCCCAGTAGACCTTGTCGGATAAAGCCACACAAACTTGCTAAAGCCATCGACCATTGCAAAAATATACTTATATTTCTTTGACGTAGCATCCATCGGTCCTAGGTGATCTACATGTAACGTACATAATGGAGTATCGCCTTTATCAATCGTATGTATTAATCCATCTAGCTTACCCTGCTTTTTGTTGTACAAAATACATTTGACACAGTTTTTGATTAATTTATCAACTTTTTGCTCTAGATGCGAAATATAAAATTGCTGCTTTCTTTGGTATGCCGTTTTCATAACTCCAAAATGACCTTGGTCATGACAAGTTTTTATCACCTCTTTTTCCATTAGTCGTGGAATCACCAATAAAGTTTGTCCATCTGTTTCCTTGAACAACACGTCGCCAATCATCTTGTAGTCCATATATTGCTTTGTTCTTAAAATTTGCATTATAACGCTGAGATGTTCATCGGTTTTTTGCGCTTTTTCAATCCTTAAACGCATTTCGCTTTTTGTATCGATCGTTAAAACTGCGTGTCTACTTAACGCGTCTACGTGTTTCATATGTGTACCACCTCGATGTTTAACCGTAAAATTGAAATCTTGCATGTACATTATGTATCTCGCAACTGATGGAATAATATCATTTTTTGACGTTGTGTATTTATATGTATTACAGTCTGTTATTAAAAGAAACTCAATGCCCAACAGATAATGTCGTAGTTTCTTCATCGCCAAAAATGCTGCTTTTGTTTCTAATACGTAACTATGGTATTTGGCTTCTGCAACTGTTGTTTTTTTTTTGCTCCAAAAATACACTGGATGTAATATCTCTTCAAATTCTTGCAAGAGTATAGCGCCAAATCCGTCCTTGGATGCATCCGTATGTAACTCCGTTCGATGATTTCTTGAAAAAATTCTTAGCACCGTTTGATTAGTTAACGTTTGTTTCAACTGTTGTATCGCCCTTATCTCGTTTTCGCCTATAACGAATTTCACGTTTTTTTTCAATAGGTTCGTCAACGGTCATGCTATTATGGAGAAGCCTTTTACAAATTTTCGAAAAAAGCCAAAAAGTCCCAATAACGATTGAACTGCTCTTACATTTTTTGGCACTGGGAAATTTTTTACTGCTTTAATTTTCTCATCGCTTGGCTTTATGGTACCATCTTCAATAATTACGCCTAAAAATTGAACTCTCCTTTGCAGGAATTTGCATTTCTTCCAATTAATGCGTAAACCGTATTCTGCAGCAACTTCGAAAAATAAAGCCAACTTTCTCAAGTTTTCTTCCTTGGTTTTTGAGAAAATGATTATGTCATCCATGTAGACTGCTAGAATGCCATCTTCAATCAGCTGTCTTAAAATGCAATTTATGTACCGTATAAAATTTGCCGGTGAGTTGCAAAATCCAAAAGGTGCGAAATTAAACTCAAATAAACCATCTTACGTTATAAACACTGTATATTTTCTACTACTTTCTTCAATTGGTACGTGCAAGAATGCACTTTCAATATCCAAGGTGCTAAATATCACTGCACCATCCAGCTTGTCCACCACATCTTCCATATTTGGTGTTGGGTATTGGTCTTTAAATGCCAACTTATTAAGACGTCTTTAGTCGACATATACTCTTATTGTTCCATCTTTTTTAGCTGCTAGTACGACTCGACTGCAATACTGTGACGTTGATTTTCGAATAATTCCCCCTTTTAGCCATTCTTCAACCTGTGTTGTGATTATTTTTGCCTCTTCTGATGCTTTTCTGCTTGGGGATGCGTATATCGGTTCTTTACCAAACTTTACTACTTTCAATTGTTGTTTGTGTAGCACTTTTCAACTGTTTCAACTTCTTTTTTCTACAACAAAACAACAATTTTTTGCTTTCGCATTTGCTTTTTTTTTCTCCTGTTTTATATTCACTTTAATTATTGAACATTGGATGAGCCCCCAAATGTAGGAATGTTTATTTAATAGTATTTATTTAATCCAAAAAATCAAAGTGTATATACATTAATTAATTAATAAGTAATAATAAGTAACTTCTTAAACGCACAACCGACTGTAAAATCAAAGACGACTTATTACCAACTACCTCTTGTTTCTTAAAGCTTCTTCTTGTTCCTTTTTGCCGGCGTTACCAGATCTTACCCTTCCTGCCTACATTCGGCCATCCGACTCTTCATCTGACCCGGATGATAGTTCTTCATCTACTTCTGCATAACGCCATAACTTCATATGATCGCAGCTAGTTGATGTAGTCTTTGGCCCCTCAAAAACGCCTGCCTTTCGTACATCGTATCGTCCGTTGCTTTTGGTTTTTGTTACTTCGTATGGACCCAAATATTCATTTATTAATTTTTTACCTGGAATAAATTGAGTACGTTTAATGGCGACCAAGTCGCCTGCTTTATATACCCGCTCTTCTTTTCGCTTTCTATCAAATGTTTTTTTATATTCTGCTTGGACCTCTTCAATTTGTTGTTTCGCATGTTGTCGGAGTATATTGCGTTCTTCGTCAAATTCTTGAATCAATTCGTCCTCTATTGCTTGTTTTATGGAGTTGTACCCGCTGTTCTTTCGCATTTTTATACCAAAAAGGATTTCAAACGGTGAATATTTCGTAGTTCGATGAATTGTATTATTAATAGCGCTTTGCACGTCTCCCACAAAACGATACCATTGATGAGGGGACTCCCATGATAATTTGAAATAACGTTGATAATTGTTCTGTTGACCCTTTCAATTTGGCCGTTACCTCTTGGAACTCCTGTTGTTGTTAGGATATGTTCGATCTGCGCTGCTTTACAAAATTCTACAAACGCATTTGACGTAAACGCGACGCCCTTATCGCTCACAATGCGAGTTGGATTTCCAAATATTTTAGTCCACAATTCAAGTTTTGTTATTACTTCCTCAGCCCCAGTAGACCTTGTCGGATAAAGCCACACAAACTTGCTAAAGCCATCGACCATTGCAAAAATATACTTATATTTCTTTGACGTAGCATCCATCGGTCCTAGGTGATCTACATGTAACGTACATAATGGAGTATCGCCTTTATCAATCGTATGTATTAATCCATCTAGCTTACCCTGCTTTTTGTTGTACAAAATACATTTGACACAGTTTTTGATTAATTTATCAACTTTTTGCTCTAGATGCGAAATATAAAATTGCTGCTTTCTTTGGTATGCCGTTTTCATAACTCCAAAATGACCTTGGTCATGACAAGTTTTTATCACCTCTTTTTCCATTAGTCGTGGAATCACCAATAAAGTTTGTCCGTCTGTTTCCTTGAACAACACGTCGCCAATCATCTTGTAGTCCATATATTGCTTTGTTCTTAAAATTTGCATTATAACGCTGAGATGTTCATCGGTTTTTTGCGCTTTTTCAATCCTTAAACGCATTTCGCTTTTTGTATCGATCGTTGAAACTGCGTGTCTACTTAACGCGTCTACGTGTTTCATATGTGTACCACCTCGATGTTTAACCGTAAAATTGAAATCTTGCATGTACATTATGTATCTCGCAACTGATGGAATAATATCATTTTTTGACGTTGTGTATTTATATGTATTACAGTCTGTTATTAAAAGAAACTCAATGCCCAACAGATAATGTCGTAGTTTCTTCATCGCCAAAAATGCTGCTTTTGTTTCTAATACGTAACTATGGTATTTGGCTTCTGCAACTGTTGTTTTTTTTTTTGCTCCAAAAATACACTGGATGTAATATCTCTTCAAATTCTTGCAAGAGTATAGCGCCAAATCCGTCCTTGGATGCATCCGTATGTATGTAACTCCGTTCGATGATTTCTTGAAAAAATTCTTAGCACCGTTTGATTAGTTAACGTTTGTTTCAACTGTTGTATCGCCCTTATCTCGTTTTCGCCTATAACGAATTTCACGTTTTTTTTCAATAGGTTCGTCAACGGTCATGCTATTATGGAGAAGCCTTTTACAAATTTTCGAAAAAAGCCAAAAAGTCCCAATAACGATTGAACTGCTCTTACATTTTTTGGCACTGGGAAATTTTTTACTGCTTTAATTTTCTCATCGCTTGGCTTTATGGTACCATCTTCAATAATTACGCCTAAAAATTGAACTCTCCTTTGCAAGAATTTGCATTTCTTCCAATTAATGCGTAAACCGTATTCTGCAGCAACTTCGAAAAATAAAGCCAACTTTCTCAAGTTTTCTTCCTTGGTTTTTGAGAAAATGATTATGTCATCCATGTAGACTGCTAGAATGCCATCTTCAATCAGCTGTCTTAAAATGCAATTTATGTACCGTATAAAATTTGCCGGTGAGTTGCAAAATCCAAAAGGTGCGAAATTAAACTCAAATAAACCATCTTACGTTATAAACACTGTATATTTTCTACTACTTTCTTCAATTGGTACGTGCAAGAATGCACTTTCAATATCCAAGGTGCTAAATATCACTGCACCATCCAGCTTGTCCACCACATCTTCCATATTTGGTGTTGGGTATTGGTCTTTAAATGCCAACTTATTAAGACGTCTTTAGTCGACATATACTCTTATTGTTCCATCTTTTTTAGCTGCTAGTACGACTCGACTGCAATACTGTGACGTTGATTTTCGAATAATTCCCCCTTTTAGCCATTCTTCAACCTGTGTTGTGATTATTTTTGCCTCTTCTGATGCTTTTCTGCTTGGGGATGCGTATATCGGTTCTTTCTTTGCTAGAATAATTTTCATTTCGACTGGACTTTTACTCCATTTCATTGGTTTATAATTATTTTTCAACTCTTCGATTTCTTTTTCATACTTCACTTCATCTTTGCTTATGGTAATATTCATGATTTCTTTTTCTTCGTGTTTAATTTTCGAAATCAGCAAAGTGAAGCTGTAGCCGTTCTCATCCGACGTATATCTACATTTACTTAAAACATCGTAACCAATTACTACGTAATAGTTTACCGCATAATCAGGTACTATTACCAAATGGTGTTCTAATTTTATTTTATCTAATTCGATTTCGCATAAAATTTTGCCTTCTGGATTTGTTTTTGCACCGCCGAAACCAACAATTTCTTCAGTGTAATTTTCCACTTGCTTTTGCACAAAATTGCTTTTAAATAAACTCTGTTTTACCAGCGTTATGTCGGCACCACCATCAATTAAACACTTAAATTTTTGTTGTCAACTCTAACCAATTTTAATTTTTCCATCTCTAAAGTACAATTTACACTTTTAGCTCCTAGATTGGTTTCTAAGCAATTTTTTGCGATGTGACCTGATTTGTTACATTTAAAACATTTTTGCTTTTCTGTGCATTCACGTCGTTTATGTTCTTTTGAGCCGCAATTGTAGCAATGCTCCTTTTTTACTTCTTTGTTTTTCCCGTACTTTTCATTCATCGGTTTCATTTTACTTATGCGTTCGTAAATTTCTATTTGCTCTTTTAACTCCAAATAGTTTTTTGCAGCGTATAACGTCATTTTATTTTCTGGCCTTCCTTTGATTCCGTCAACAATATATTGAATCACGGATTTTTGTTCAACTGATCCAGTTGCACCGATGTTTCGCATGTGTAAAATATATTCATGGGCGCTTTCACTGTCTTTCTTCTTTCTTTCTCGTAGTTGATTGTGAACTTCTATACTTGAATAAGTATGCGTAAATTCCGTTAGCATCTCAGTTTTAAATGTACTGTAATTTTTTGTTGTTAGTGTTTGCACAAAAAGTTTTGCTACTTTGGTTATCTTATTTCTCGCAAACACTAATTTTTGTGTGTCTGACCACTTATATGCATCTGCCATATCTTCCAAATTTTCGGACCACTTTTCTACTGGCATTCCTGCTTCGCCATCAAAACATGGAATCATATCCTCTCCATTTGTACTCGAATTAGACATTTCATTTGTAAACTTAACCGTTAGTAACCGTATTAAATCTGTTAATTCTGTATTAGCCATAGTGATCGTATCGCTGGATTTGTTGTTGCTACTGCTGTTTATGTCACTTTCCACGTTTTTTTTATTGATGTTGCTTACACCTTCTGCAGTTTTTGTTTCGATTTCTATTCGTTCCTCTGCTTCACTGTTGCTTTCCTTCTCGATGCGCGTTATTTTTTCTTGCTGTTGTTTTCCAAATTCTTTCTTCGCTGCTCTTGTCAAAATTTTTCCACTGTCTTCTACATTTACATCTTCCATGCCAATTTTTAGCCTTTTTCTGCAACTTTACTACTTTCAATTGTTGTTTGTGTAGCACTTTTCAACTGTTTCAACTTCTTTTTTCTACAACAAAACAACAATTTTTTGCTTTCGCATTTGCTTTTTTTT